TGGAAGCACTGTCTGACGCGTCTGCCTCCGCGACCCGAAAGGAGAAGCGGCGATGGAAGATGATGATGATCACTGAAATATAGGGTTCGAATCCTTATAAGGAACAGTTTTTCTCTCAACCAAGAACTGCCTTCAGCAAGTAGGTCACCTAGCGCTGCCTGAGTGCAACTGGTCAAAAGACGAGTCGTTGTTTTGCGAATAACATGGGCAGCATAACATTCTGGTGTAGTGTGATCCTACCAGAATAAACGAGGTGTATGGCTATGCTGTCCCAACAGCAGAGAATCTAGTGTTATAATAAGCAAAATCTGCAACCGTGGAAAAAAAATTATGGCCCTAAATAATTAAACTGATCTGTTCACTCCATTAATCTGTATGTCGCACTCAAAGGCCTTTATCGAGAGTAGAAAAGCCTCGATTGTAGTTAGATAGCTCATAACCCCGGCTTTATCACATGCAGTTGTGCACTACTCTCCGTATCTTCTATCTGTCATGGACAGGATCGGTTAATCAATACCATCCGTTCAATGAAAATATTGACTCCTTTACAATCTGATAAGTAAACATTGTGAAAAGCTAGAATTCAATCCGTTACAGTAATTTATTGTCACTGTTGAAGAGATTACTCTGAAACCAGTCCCCTTTATCAAAGCATCAAGTAAAGCCTGATCCATGCGCCGTGTTCATGGATGCGCAGATTCGCACAGAAGAGACGTACCTTCAATAAGAAAAAACACTTCGATCACTGCTGCGACAAACGACGACCACACCCGGAATATGACACACACAGACAGACAGTTAGAATTCACTCATTTCATTACGGTGGGAACATCACAAAGAAGTATTAGAAATATCTACAACAAAACATCAAAATTTAGAGGTACGGCAAAAGCGTCAACGTGAACCGTCTAGAAATTTGAGTTACTTCGTAGAACAATGGTTAATCAGTACCGAAACAAAAATTCCTTTGGAAACAACGGAACGACGATCTACTGGTTTTTCTTCCTGATTCGCAGTTCATTTGCTGACCCATCACCGGTGACCAAAGCTCGAGATTGAAAAAAGCCATTGGGCGAGTTAGAAAATGAACCTTCATGATTGATGTGATTGCCAGAGGGATTCTGTTCGAAGCATTTTCGTTCCTTGCGTTCTACCCTCTCATAGTCGAAGTTGCGAGATAGCCCATCGGGCGAGTCTTCGCCTTGCGGCACATCGAGGTCAGTCACTGCCGCTGATTCCACTGTTTGATGATGTGCTCGCATATAGCTATCGGTGAACTGCTTGAAACCGGATAGTGCAGCTTCCAGATCTTGCATATATGGTTCAGGTTGATCGTTGGACAGTGCTTCAGAACTGCTAGTATGGCGCACCTCTTTCTTGCAGATATCTTCCAAATCGTTCAACGTATTCTACAAATAAATCTTTTCAACAAGTTCAGCCGAAATAATAATTAATGCTTAATCAACCTTTGTCATAAACTTAAGATTTTCCGCCGTGGCACTGTCTGAAAAATCATTGATCTGTTCCAGATATTTCAGTATGCGCTTCAAGGACGTTTCCGTCTCCGTCAACCGATTATGCAGGCTGTGCAGTTCTTCGCGACCTGCAAAGAGAGAATTTCTACCGAATTACTATTAAAAGACTACTGTTACAATTATTATTACTAATACTCTAACAGTACATTCGTAATGCTAGTTGTAATAGTAGTATGGAAGCACTGAAAGCAGTACTAAGGAAGTATCAACACTAATAGTATTACTTACTTGAGATTTAACTGTCGAATGTGGTTCGCTTAAAGTACCTTCTCAAAAGGAACTGCAGCAATTTTACGTTACTGCAAACTACGTAGTGTAATAGCGAACTATCAATAAACTGTACAACATATAATGTCCGCTTTTTCATTAAAACAATGGCTTTATGTTTCATACGGTACTTCAACCTCATTCTGAAATTTCTGCTTTCGGCCCACTGCCCTCGCCACTGCAGCATATACCCTATGCGTCTTTAATCTGAGCGTGCAATCTGTTATAGAAATGAGAAAATACTAGTTTCAGAAGTAACACATAGAAACAACCACTAAAGTGCATTACGGTGGTTTGCACCAGCGCCGTGATGTGTGCTACTATAATACTAATATCTCACATAACGTACCAAAGCATAAATGCAGCGCAACGAAACAACAACTACCTCACCATACCGTTTCAAAAAAAAACAGTTGCACTTTACGTCATATATGGATTTGCACGGTAAAAGCGCACAGTGCTCTTGCTTCTAGTAGCCTAGCGAACCGTTTAAGCAGGCCATGGCTACCTGGCATTTTAACACCTGCAGTGTATAAGCGCAAACCAGTACTGTGTGCTCGGTCGAACAAACGCATGTTCGCACACCAACAGATATATCTCAGTTTGTAAAAATATATAACAATAGAGAGTACAGCCAGAACATCGTGCGAAGATAAGAGTGTCCAGTAGTAGCACTCTCAAGGAAAAGAGTATCATATAAGTACTGCAATTAGTACTAAAGAACATTTGACTGTTGACATTACGTCACATGAAGGAAAAACTGCAATAGAAATAAACCCCGCTATTATGGGTTTGTGGGAAAACTGACAGTTTTAATACTGCCGGCAAGAATAACAAATTGCTGTAAGGAATATTCGCTGGTTTTCGATGTTGTGCCTTTTTGCGCACAAGGTCTGCACGTGATGAAATACCACGGAGCTGATTCCTACGTAAAATGTTCCCGTAGGCTATTAAAAGCAATGAAACGGTGCAACTACACAGTTAGAATTCGGAGAAGGGACAAGAATATCATATTCTTGCCGTCGGCAAAGAAATTGCCAGTTTGCTACCAAACCTATATCGTCGGGGTTAATTTTCTATTATAGTCCTTTTTCTTTCATATGACATAATAATGGGTGAATGTTCATATAGTACTAACTGCAGATTTTCTTATATGTACTCCACTGCATCCCGAATGATCAGCGGATCGCCCTTATTTCTCCATGATGGACGCAGATAAGACAATGGTCTATGAAGAGCTCGTGCTATACGTACAGAGTAGAAACTATTTTGATCTGCCACTTACCAGAAATACCACAGTAATATTCGATCATAAGAATTACATGGTAAAATCACTGTACAGCATTACAGCATGATGACTGTGGTGCGGTTAGCCTCAAACATTAAGCCAAAAAAGTCAACTTCATAAACTTTAAAACCATTAAAAATGTAAATGATGCGTTAAGGGAAAAAGAATTAAGGCTTTCAGCTGAAGCGACAAAAGCAACAAACGAAGCATACTCACGACAACGAACGACTGCAGTGATTACCATGCGCTTCGCAGAGGAAAATCATCACAACAACTACATTCATGAAATATGCCACTCTGGGCATGCAGGGAACACATGTCATGCCATGTCAAGTCGGCATACTCATTCCTCGCAACAGCTTCTCGTCTCGTCTGTATGGCGGTGAAGGACCCATTTCAAAGCCGTCACTTTCGGCGTTGTAGTGGAATTCCGGAAAGCGAACGTTACGATCAGGTTGTTTCCAAATGATCTGGAAAAAAGTGGTACAAATGTCAGGTAAACAACTACAAATATGAGCTATGGAAAATATATCATGCAAAATGATACAAGTATTCGCTAAGCGGGAGATGACAATAGGCTTTCGGAACGGCATGAACGGGAGAAAGACACAAATAAATAAATAAAAAATTATTAGTTACCAATGTTTTAAATAAATCTACGTTTCAGACCAAATCCGAACCATCTTTAGCTTTACAACGCGATTTTCAAGGGTGATTTCTACACTGATTAGATTGCTACGCATTACTGATGGCGCCGCCTTCGTCGTAAGTGCAAAACAGACTATAACCAAGAAGGTGGAAGAATGAAGATGGCAGGTCCAAAACTTCAAGGTGGCAAGAACGTTGGCAATTTTTTGTGTTGTCCTCCAGGTCTTGACATTCTGAAACATTAGTCAGTCAATCATTTTCGAGTACAGCTAATCTTTTTGTGTCGCGAAGGCAGAAGCCCCAGACAGCGTCTCCAACGTTCGCGAACCCGTGCCAGCGTTCGAAGTTCAGCAGAAGACATTTTAGTCCAGAGAAGATTGCGGTGAGACAATTGTCCAGGCATTTCTTGACCATCTTTATGATCTTCAGTCGGTCGATATTCAAATACCAACATCAATGAAAATATTTAACGTTTCAAATTAATTTATTTCAGTAAATAATAACACACAACAGTAACAAATAAAATTTATTTCATTATAAGATATCACAGTTTCAATCCTTTTATTTTGCCTTCGAGCGGAAATCTTAATCCATTAATAATTCTTAACAGATTCGCATTTTTCGACATGTTTACTAGATCTCCACTCCAACGACAGACGATCTTCGGTGCTTTCTTATAAGTGGTGTTTTTCCATTTAGTTTTATTCAGGTCCGGAGCAATATTTTTAATTTATATTTTCCTTTTTGATTTCCGCTTGCTCATGTTCGACAGTGCATTTGTCACAGCTAAAGTCAATTTATTAAGGACGAAAATGTTACTTGTCTTTTTCATCGCGCTATCACACAAGATAAACCTGGATCCCGTTTTCTTTACCATCCATGATGAAATCATGCATTTGACATATTCGAGGATTTTGTCGGAGCTGCCCCATTCTCTTTCTCTTGTCGCAAAAATTTCGCTTCGTTAAGATGACCTGAATCTTTGAAAAGACCGTTTCATCCTTATCTTTTCAAATTCTCGTAGGAATTTTGGACATTTCTTGCGAATTCATTCAGAAAGGAAGAAGAGACAACTATTACTTATCCAAGGCACCAGCTATGAATGGAAGACTCGTTTCATAAGTCTAGTCATTTCTGCCGATTTTCTGCTGAAACGCTAGCAAATGATCGGAAGTCTCAGAGAGTCTGATGCGTGTGACTCCTCTACCCAAAAGAACCGTTAACTGACTGGAACTGCCGAAACTGACCTTCACTGTCACAGCCGATAGACAGAAAGTTAGAGCTAAATTTTTTCATTCAAAAAAACCATCTAGCTTCTTGTACGAAACTGTTCATACTGTTCCTAATTCAGTTGCTTACTAACTTCCTGCTTCAGTCGATGCAAGCATAACGTGATATTTTTCAGAGAAAAATTAATTTTAGAAATGGAAAAAATATTAAACTTGTAAAAAAAATTTGACCTTCATCAAAATTTTCTCTGATCTTGAAAAAATAAAAATCCAGTGCAAATACAAAGAACAAAAAGCAGCCAAATATGTAAATGAAAAGTGACAGGTATCAAACGTAGATTCGTAAGATCCAACAACTTTTTGACCTCGTTCTGCCGTTGATCTTGAGGTAATTTCAAGGACCATTTACTATCTATTCGAACCCGTTCTTCTTTCATCGTATTCTTATCTTAGTCATATGAACGCACTCACTCATACAATCACATTGCAAACCGCTTGAGCTTTTACAAATGCTTTCGTTTCTTTCTTTGTTCCAAACATAACCTTTCCATACTACGTTGCGTAGTCTGCAGTTTGTGAATAGCTTTACGATTAGGATCGATGTTTCGCATCCATAAAACAATACTGGAATGCATACTGCCCGAAGACACCACGTTTGAAACACAAGGGTAGCTTCCCAGATAGGAACAATTTCAATCTTCATCGACAAAGTGCTGCACGCAGCTTTTACTCTTCAGCTGATTCGTAGAGTCGATTCTTCGTTACACAAGTGAGCTGTCCCAGATGGACGTATGGGACTATCAGATGCAGGTCATCAAGCAAAAGTCTTCATAGACTTCAACAGGTCGCGGGATCATGTATTTGTTAAACATGATATGAGTCTTCTCGTTCAATTCTGACTCTGCTCTGATGCCGGCGTCGTTCAGCTCTTAGATAAATTTTTTCAGAGTTCTTCTGATAAACTTGACAGGATCAAAATATCCTCATATTCTACATTGCACAACTCGAATTATTTAC